GCATAATTTAATAAAAGAGCAGGACATGGTGCTTCTGCTCCAGCGTATATTATTATCTCAGTTAGCTTACAAACATACACGGTATCGACGTTGAAACAGCAGTATGTTAGCAACGGCGCTAACAATGGAGCTAACAACGGAATTTAACATGCGGAGCGTAAAAAAAACCCTCAATCTTTCTGACAGTTAATAAACTAATTTGCAGCCTACAGGTGCGTTTATATATATATATTCATACCTGAAGAAGGGAGATATTTTAATAAAAGAGCCGGACACGGTGCTTCTGCTCCTGCGTATATTATTAATATCTAAGGAGGAAGTTCCGGTGCTCTTCAATATAGCTAGCGCAAGCGCTAGACTCCCCCTGCTGGTTGGATCTGACCATTACATCAGCTAGACATTAACATCTTCAGCCCCAAATGCTGGTAAAGCATTACAACCTCCTAACATCAAAAGAATAAATGTATCTCTGAAATAACCAAATTTCAATCCATCACATCTGCATGTGGGACCCAAGTGCTGCTGGAGCGCACTGCAGAGTGTAGACAGATATTAGTTGAATGCCAATCTAATCCGATACTCGTTTTTTGGCTGATATGGGACTGATTTCCGATATCAATATCGGATTGGGACAAACCTAATATAGATTCCTAAATGATTGTGCTTACAGAAACGAAAAGCTGCTCATCAGTCACCTCCGCATGTTGCATCTGCTCTGTCTGTTTCAGGATGTACGATGTTGGAGGTCAGAGAACCGAACGGAGGAAGTGGATCAGCTGCTTCGAGGACGTCCGAGCGGTCCTGTTTGTCGTGGCTCTTAGCGGATACGACATGACTCTGGTGGAAGACCCCTCAGTGGTACGAGGTTTCACACATCACTCAACTCAGACGACAACGCCACACAATCAGCAAAACAAAAAAACGAATCCATGTTTTGACTCATTTTGTTTAAATTCTCTTGGAACTTTAGAGTGTCTGACTAAACAAACATTTTGATTTGTGTGTTTTCTTCAGAGTATTAAAGTGGCTTGAATCTAATTTTATTTTATTTGAAGCGCTGTTTGATGTGTTTTGTCTTCTCCCTGCAGAACCGCCTCCAGGAGAGCATGAAACTTTTCTCCTCCATCTGCAACAACGTCTTCTTCCGCAGCACCTCCATGGTAAGCCGTTCATCACTTCCTCCGCCTCAGCAGAACCAAACCTGAGCTGTGGTGGAGAACGACAGCAAAAGGTTTTAATCTGTTTTTAACAGACGCTGCTGGTGGAGCCTGGAGCTCCATAACAAAAGAGATATTGCTCAATATTTATTCACCATAGTCATGCTTTTTCATTAGCATCTTTGTGTTTCTGGATGGGAAAGAGAAATCATTTTAAACCGACAGTATCATGTCTGTTTTACTTTGCGAACTCCTTCAGTCATACTGTAGCTGTGGGAAAAGGACAGTATACTCAATTTTAATTCTAAAATGATTGAAATCCAGCCTCACGTTTACAAAGACACACACCTGAATCTGCCTTCCCAGGATGAGCAGCAGGTAGACGCTGCTGTGAAGGTCCTTGAGTCATAAAAGTCCTGCTTCGGATGTGTGTGTGTCAAGTAAACCTGTTGCAATAATCAATTATTAATCGCATGATCGTTTTAGATTTGTAAAATATCTTCCACTAGTGTTGAGTGTTCTGTAATAAAATAAAGTTTGTTGGTCTTTGAGAAGCTGAACGTGTGTAATTAAGGCTCAAAACAATATTATCGTTTATCACAATAATTTATAAGACAATTTATCGTCCAGGAAAATTTATTATTGCTGTATAATCTGTTATTGCTAATGTTAAAACAATTTGAAATGACATCAGAAATGACCTAATGAAGCAACTGTTTGCTGGAAATGTTATAAGACGCCTTCCAAACAAATTCAAGTCCATCAGTCTACACTGAGTTAAATTACTCACAAGTACAAGAATATTCAAGGTTGTTGCAAATCCTAGCAGATTCACCAAACAATTAGATCAGATTAGATCTGAGGCTTCGATACACAGGCTGGCACAGCTGTACTTTACCTTTAAATCCTGGCATGCTGCTGCCAAGTCAATAAAAATTCAGACTTTGTTTCCTCCTTCACACCTGATGCTGAAACTGATGGTAGAGATGCAGAAACATTCCTGGATATTCAGAGAAATCCTGCAGTTTGTGAATGTACATCTCAGTACAGATGTGAATAACATGGCAGTATCACTGTGATGAGATGGCAAAGAAAACCTTAGAGAAAACATTTTAAAATGAGCTTTATCAAATTTGACACAATTTAGGGATTTTTTTTTTTTACTTTCCTGACCAGCTGAGAAAGGGGATGTAGTTTGGTTTTATTAGAGTTTATGACAGTCATAGGTTTGGATCGTGGGTGAGAGCTGGAGTACCAGGAGGAAATCCACCAAGGATGGAAATTGTCAATTAATAAATTAATCTTATTAACTAACAATTAATCAATAAGTGTCCGTTCTCCGTTATGCAGCTTGGCTGAATGAGCGCTACTAAGGTTACTTAAGGAGTCGACTGTTTTTATTTCAAAACAGAACTACATAAAGTTCATTTTGCATCCTATAACGGACTTTGTTTGGACCATTTCTCTTTCCCGTTCTGGGATGTCTGCACCGTCTTTGTTTCTGTATTAACTGGCTCTGTTTTACGATGACCAGTGGCTCCCTCTGCTGGATGGTGGCCAAACTACCGCGCTAAAAAGAAGGTTTAAGCGGATGTTATTAGTTAATTGATCTGAACCAGTGTTGATCTTGTAAAACATTTATTGAAAATTGTTCATTTGTTTGTATCCCTAAAATCCACACATATGTACAGGCAAAACAACAAACAAACTATGTATTTCATTTTGCTGTCAGATTCATTCACAATAGACCCAGCATTAGCAGAACTCAGAGGTCCTGAGTTTAACTCATGTCGACTCAGATCCAATCTGACGAGTCAAGACAGCATCCAGGGCCAACAGGATCCAGATGAACTAAACTTCCACAAGTTCTTCTTGAACAGACGGACAGAAAAATGCTGTTTGATAAACGCTGCTTCCTCACCACTAATTGAAAAGCTTGTTGTATTTAAGCTCGTCTTTGTCAAGGTGACATTTCCCCCCTCTCTTCCAGCTTCCTGTGTGTAATAACATTAAAACTTCACAGCACTGAGCTCACAGACTTAAGTTAAATTTAAAGACTTAGTTCAACTACTGAGAACGCTCCTGTGTTTTCCGGCAACATTTCACCGCTAACACGGTTTTTATTAGTTCAGGTTAATCTGTGTGGAAACAAAGACATATTCAAAGTTCAAAAATAAAACTTCACTGTCCTGATTACTTTCTAATCACATCACAGGCACATAGTTTTACACATTTCCTCCTGCAGAAAACACCAACTAAGTTTTTTTTTTTATCTTTTTTTTTTTTTTAGTCATACAAACTTATTTAAAGCTTCATTACAGCCGAATGGGCAATTAAAATGCCTGCGTGTGACGTGTTTATGTGCCGGCTTTGTGTGTGGGGCTGCACATTACGGCGGCTAACAGGCTCATTAAATAAAACTGTTTAATGATACGTGTTTTTTTTATGTGGCAGGATAATTTGTAACCTCCACCTCAATTAAGTCGTCACTGTGGCTGGTCAGTGATAATTACACACCTAGGTGTTGCTCCGCATCCTGTTTATTGAAAATCTGCTCTACCTTATCGCTCCTTTATTATTATCCGGGGGCTTTTTTCCGCTCTTGTTTGACTTTGTGATCAGACATGCGGGGGAAAAGGTAGAACAAAGTCACAGTTTTAATTAGTTGGGTACAAAGCCTTAAGTACCAGGACGGTGTTTTCCTGAGACGACGGGCAGAGATGCTGATTTACGGACGTGGTCTCCGATCCGCTGGCTGGTCGCGTTCACATGATGCATGAGAGTCATGTGCCGCTATTACCTAATATCAATACAGCTATTGATTTTTGGGTGAATCTTTCTAAGTGACAGTAAATCTGCCTGCTATTCCAGATGGTATTCTGCAAATCAACGTTTTCTCAGTTCCTGCGCTTCCAGCCGACTTTCTCTGTTTGTTGTTGTTGCAGATTTTATTCATGAACAAGATAGACCTTTTCCAAGACAAGATCTTGCACACAGGACGGCATCTGCGGTTATATCTGCCACAGTTTAAAGGTAGGACGGATCCCTATGCATACATGTGAACAGCACAATGTTTGACCAAAAATAGATGTTTCTAATGTCACTGACCTCTATGACCTCAGAGACGTGTATCATTGAAAAAGCAGCATAAAGGTTTTTCATGGACCTGTTACCAGAAAAACCTGATCAAAACTTATTAAGAATCATTTTCCTGTTGGAAAACCCAGCTGGATCAAAGTCTCAACCATCCGGCCTGTAGCGGCGATTGTCTGTCAAACCAAACATCCTATGAAAGTTCAATCAATGAGCCACTTCTGCCGCACTGGGAGGAAGTTTGGTACACAGGCAAAATAAATCCAATGTCCAAAACTTGAAGGTTGCAAGCAAATAACCAAATCAAACTTTTCATTGTTTCCTGCTTCTTCTCCTGCTCTGGTAAGAAAACCACAGGCCCCAAACCCAGTGCATACTGGTCCTATACCAGTCCCTATACTTATAGAAAACAGACCCGCAGTTCTTTCTGTCCTACTTAGAGAAACAAATTTAAAAAATGAAATAAAATCAATAATTATTAACCTACAAGTAAACTCTGAAAATAATACAAAATATAAAGTAAACTAAGAATAAACTAACAAAATTCAAATTGATTAAAAAAAAAAGAATAAATATCTTAAAGACGACCTTCAGACGAAAGGAAACTGGTCAGGAAGTTTAAACTTTGGTTTAGAACTTGGAGTCAGTATGTTGGTAATATAAACAAAACTTCTCCAGCCTCAATCTAGACAACAAGCTCAACGTTGAGAGTGAAATTAGAGACTGACGTTATTAAAGAAATGCCTTTTGGGAAATTTAGTTTGTGTTGTGTTCACTGTAAATGTGTATTTTGATTAAAGCTCACTCTAAGGTACCCAGAAATTAATATTCGAATGTCTGATGTTGTGTTTATTAAATATTTATGAGAAGGAAATGCAGCCTGTACCTTCAGCAGATCTTTATTAGCTCTAAATGCACTAATTTGCTACTACAAAACAATTTAAAAAATCTACATGATATATTAATGGTGTCTCAGAAATGTATAATATTAACAAACAGACATGCATGAGTGATATTTGATACTTTATTTTGCACTGATGTGTAAATATCCAGACCCTTCCTTTAACCTTGACTTTTACCCATCATCTCATTTCTCTAGAGGCTTTTGAGTAAACCTTTCATATTCCCATCATGCAGTCTGATTAGCTCCTTATCTAAGATTTGACCAGTAACTCTCTGATTCTGTTTCTCCATTACAGACATGCTCAGCCGTGCATCCGTCTGCCTTTCCTGCTCATGTTTTATGCAATAAATAAATAAGAAAAAAATGCTTCTTGTTCCACCTCAGTAGTTTACTCAGACACGTCGGTCCTTAAAACTCCATAAAGCGATGCATAAACCCAAAGCCGGTTTGGCAGCTTATTAAGCACAGAGACGGGGCTGATGATAAGCTCTCAGTGGCCCCACATGCTGTTATTTCTGGAGGTTTTGTATATCTGCTCGGTGTCGTGCCGCCCGTGTCTCAGCGGGCTCAACGGGAGCCGTGTCCTCTCTGCTCTCATGCAAATGTCAATAAAAATGCTAACGCGGCTCGGATTGGGGTCAGCCAGCAGAGCGACCTGAGCGCCGATACGATGAGTCCGAGTTCTGGCTCAGGTTCGCAGCTGCGGCGAATTAATCGTTCTTCTAAGCCGTTTCAGTTCATCCGCGGTGAAGAGACAACATCAGCACTGCAAAGTGACCTCGCTCTGGTTTTAAAAGAACCAGTTTGAAGACGAAGATTTTAATTTGAAACTTGAAGTTCATTGTAGATCGCCACATTGACCCAACATCTTTATTTTTAAGATGTTGCTGCTGAAGGAGTAAAGTCTTTCCCAACTTTCTTCCTTCTTTGTCCAGCTGCTTCTCCTGATTCTGATTACAACTTCCCTCTCCTCAAATAAAACTGTCTGATGAAGATGCACAGAATATGTTTGCGTGAATCAAGTCTGAATTTGTTTACGTCCTGAGCAGCACATAGATCAATTTTGGTCAGTTCCAGCATTTATAGATTTTACATCTTTACTAAGACAAAGTTTGAATACCCTAAAAAAGTGATTTTCATGTTTTATTGGCAAATCGCACAGCTGCTATGTAATATTAAGAAGTCTGGAAAAATATGAATTTGAGTTATTATTGTTGTTATTGTTGCCTAACAGATAAAATGTGCATTTCTGTAAAGAAGGAAGCTTTTTGCATAAAGTGTTGACATTGTCCTTTAGCGTACATTCATGCAAAAATGTAAAAAAAAAAAAAAAACTGGCAAAAATGAGTCTGATGCAGACACCAAGACAAACCACTAGATGTGTTTTTTATACCGTGGATCACAAACTGATCCACGGTAAAAACAGGGGATAATTAACACACTTAAACAATGTGAAAGAGTTTTTATGAGAAATTAAAGTTCTTCATAAAAGTTCTGAAATAGTCCTTTAACATGCAGCTGACTCACATGCAGTGGTGTTTTTTTTTTTTTTTTGTTGGTTCATGATTTGTGATTTTAAAAAAAAACAGGTAAATGTTCTGTGTTTTCATGTCAACAATCTGATGGCAAAAAAATTAGTCTGGAAAAGTATTGGCATTTTTAGATGTAAAATCTGTTTGAAAACAGTAATTAGTGAAATTAGTTAACTGAACTGTAACTTGGCTCAAAGTTTGTCAAAATGCAGCTGAGAAGGAAACATTGTCGTTCTTCTTTCACACGTTCTCTGATGAATTTCTAAACACTTTGAGTTTTTTCTTGCCCATTAGAAACAGCTGCACCAATAAAATCCTGTAGCCAATGGAAACTTTGTTAAAGAGCATCCACCCATTAAGGCTCCAGTCAGGACTTTAATTAACCCGTCGCTTTCTCTGTGCAGGGGGTCATAGTTCATTTGCGTTCCATGCATAGATTGTCAAACCTCTCAAGCCACACGGGTTCTAGAGGACGGATTTACGGCTGTACCGGAGAGGCAAACCATGACAATGAACTGTTATTGTTGTTATTAATGAGAGAGAAGTGACCTAACTGTTGCTCAACCCTCCAGGCGCGGACTGTGACGTCGATTCGGCCGCACGCTTCATCCTCGCCACCTTCGTCTCGCTCAACAACAGCCCCAAGAAGCTCATCTACCACCACTTCACCACGGCAACCGACACCTCCAACATCCAGGTCGTCTTTCAGGTGGTTATGGAGACGATCATTAAGGAGAACCTGGAGGCTGTGTCGCTCCTGTAGCCACCGGCGGCGGCGCCTCAGTGAAGTTTCATTTAAAAAAGACTGAAATGAACCAAAACAAAGTTTGTCCTCTATGAATATTTAACTTCCTACAACTGCAAAAACCAAGCTCTGAAGCTTTTTGCTTCCAAAACACCCCGGGCTTTCCTTTTTGCATTTGTGACTGAAGCACAACAGAGAGGCGCGGTGAGGATTTACTGTTTGTCCGCTTCCTTCCTCCTCGCAGGATTCACCCATGCATACCGTCGTGTTTCCCCCCTCCCCCCCTTCATCCATCACCTTGTCTCTGCGCCGTGCGTCACAGCCTCCTAATGAGGCGCTCATGGTCGTGTAACTACTCACGGGTTTGTGTTCGCCCGAGATCCCAGACCCAGCAGGGCATCTTATAATCTGTGCCATTAACTGTCCCACTGACTTAATACCAGCCACCAGTGATGCGGCGGCGGAGCTTATTACAAGCAAAACGTGTACATTAAAAACACCCCAGAGGTCGTCTGACTTGGGTTTTAATTTCCTTTCTTCCCACCTGTGACACATCGGCTCTTAAACTCTGATTTACAAAACACTGCCTCCTGCGTGTGTGAGCTGTGGCGTTATCTGTTCCGGAGTTTGTTTCTGAAGGTTCCCCTGAGCGACCGGCGGTGCCGACTTCAGTAATAAACAATATTTGTCCATGACTGACGGAGCCTTTCACTGAAACTAAAAAAAACATCCCAAAGTGCTTTTATATGATGAAGCGGTGATGTGTGTGTGTGTGTGTGTGTGTGTGTTGTTTTAATCTGAAATGTGAATAAATGTGACTCTGTCCTCTTTGACAGACACGAAAACAAACCTTTCAAGGTTGTGAAGCAAATTCAGACAACAGCAGGTTGATATTGTTTGTTTGTTCATTTTAATAGATAAATAAATAAAAGTAATTTACAGGAGTTCTGGAAAACTGCAGATAAACCTCTGGAGATTTTTGAACATTTATGCAAAGGGGTTGGAATGAAAATGGCTTTATCTGACGGTCTGGTATTGGGTTTTTTTTCCCCCCTGTTTACATTTTTTTTCTTTGCAACCAAAAGCAAAACGAACATTTTTTTTAAGCATTTTTCTTTAAATAAGAGAAAACATTCAAAGTCTGCAACGGTCCGTCATCATCATAGCAAAAATCTCCGTCCATCCCTCATCTCTGTTTAGATTTTTTTTTCCTGCTTTTCCAGAAAAGATCTCTAGTTTTTCTCTCTCTTTCTATCTGTTTTCTTTCTTTCTTTCTTTCTTTCTTTCTTTTTTTTGGAGGACGATGAGGAGGATTCACGCAGACTCATGCGGACAGGCAGTCCAAGGAGTCCAGGGTGAGGAAGACGTCTGCCTTGCACTGGAAGGTTCCTGTCCCGTCCTGCAGCAGCTCGCAGCTCTTCAGGTTCGGAGAGATGTCCTTCAGGCAGATGGCCTGGAGTTTGGAGAGAAATCAAAGTTGAAATGAAACACGGTGTTGTCTTACAATGTCACTGCTGAAAGAAAACTCGTAGAAATATCAGAATCAAATTCAATTATGTATGTTTGTATATGTAAATCAGTGTTTGTGTGTGTTCACTGATAGGATTCAGCCCAAATATTTCTAACTAGCAGAACAGCTGTTTGTTTTGCGCTTTAATCTGCGCCTTTGCGCATAACGCATAAGTTTTGTTTTTTTTTTTGCAAGCCACACATGTATACATAGCGCCATGTACTCTATATCGGAGTTCCCTTTGCATTTCAAAGAACGTTTCACTTTTCATGCCATCTTTAGCAAAACAGCAACTCTTGAGCGAAAAGCACGATTTTACGCGCGCAACCACTCTGAGCAGAAATGAACTTTCTGCTCTCTGAGGAGAGCCTACCATGTTCTTCAGGACGGAGATTTGCTTGTTGGTCTCTTGGATCAAGTTGTTTCCCGCCGCCTCCCCGCTGTCCATCACCGTCTCCTCGGACTCGGCTCTCCGGACGGTCGGAGACCTCCTGATGCCGGACAGCAGCCCGGAGGCGCGGCCCACAGAGTAGTAGTTGGGTCCGGTCACCTGCTTGTACCAGGCTTCGACGGACTGGCAGGAGATGAGCAGAGACACTCCGACGCACACCACGGCGAACCTGACGGACTTCTTCATCTCCAGGACGGTTTTGGCACTTTTTTGGAGGTTAGGGGGTTGATTTTTTTTTTTTTTTTTAAATTTTACGCACAAGAAAATAGCGCTTCTACAGGTCTGCTCCTTCGTCTGCGGACACTTTGTTTTTGCTGGAATCTTGGAAAAGTTTCTGTTTCTTATATAGGGAGGCTGGGTGAGGTTTATCGTGACACAGGACATTCGTCAAATCAGAGCCAAGGTGGGCGGATGATGATGATCCGTCTGTAGAAAATGGGGGGTGTAGAGGGGAACGACGCTAATTGATCCGTTTCTGATGGGCTGCTGGAGCCACGCCATCACGATGCGTGTCTGTGTGTGAGGTATGAGGACGTCACTCCTTCTGACGTTTTAAGGGGTCAAAATGAATCTGTCGTCCTTGAAAGAAATGTGAGGCAAGAGGTCACAGCTTAAGAGGAAGGTGTGGGTTTCATGTGCGAAAGTGGACAAATTATTACTGAAAATACCTGCAGATGAATCTATAGCTGATCACGACGCAGCGCCTGAGTCCGTCTACGTCAGTTTTATGAAGTTTTATGGATTTTGTCCCGCAACAAACACAAACTGTAATTTTTTGTTGTTTTTTATCGGGGTTTTATTTGTCAGGCCAGGAAGGAAATGTGCAGTCTGCACATATTTTTAAATTTTCTTTACATACACAAAAATGTGAAAAGTGTGGCGTGTATTTATATTCAACCCCTTAAGTGGAGCCACATCGCTGTACTTTTATAGTTCCAAATTTCTCTCTTTTTTTATTTTAGTTTTTTTGGTTTATTATTTGTAAAGAAAGAAACAAATGCAAACTGTGCATCTTTTCCCTTCCACTTGACAATTTTATACTGTGTCCATCACATAAAATCCTCTGTGATTATGTGACAAAGCGTGAGCAAAGCATGTGAGTATATGTTTGAAAGGCTCTATATGGGTTTGATGTGGAGCTCTCAGGGGAAACGTTATAATCAATAAAAAACATTTTTAGGACACAGGCTGAGTCCTCCGACAAGCGCCATGAACTCCTCTGAATGGTGTAATTAGCAGATCAGTCTTAGTCAGCCAGACTGAATAATTAAACAAACAAACAGTTAAACTGTAATTATGTTGGGTTTCTATGAGAACGCGTCATGAGACTTCTGATGATGGAAGGTTGGTCTTAGTGGGAGACAAAAACAAATGTTGAAGGAGACAGAAAAACTGAAACGATGTAAAGAATTAACTCGAGTTTTATTTCTTATTTACAGCTTATTCTATTACAAAAAAACAGAAAACCAAATGAACGAAGTTATTTGAAAATATCACGTCAGCGAAGATGGAAGAAAATACCATCAGAGCAAGTCAGAGGCCGTTGTAGAGGGGTCTGCAGTGAGGCTCCAGCTTCTCCTCCAGGACGTAGTCCGGCCCGCAGACCCAGGGGTCTCCCGTCGCCCACTGCCATTTCTGCAGGAGCTGCCTCAGGTTGTCCAGCACGCCGCTGTAGGACGGGTCCGACGCCAGGTTCTTGGCTTCCTGAGGGTCGGTCCTGGGTTTGTTCACAACAAAACACTATCAGGTTCCTCTGCTTGAGGAGTATAAACCCTGAGTCAGTCTGAGTGTATGAAACATTAAACGAACTATGTTTAAAAATGCGAATAATACGCCGTTCGCTTCGTCTGCAACTGGTCCAGAACTCAGCTGATAGGTTTTTAACTGGTACCAGTAAAACAGCCAGCATTACCAGTTCATTACTGGTTCCCTCTTAAAATGTACAGGCACATCTGAATAGTTTTAAATATCAAAAAGTCAAATCTGTATAGATTACTTACACACTGACACATATATTTTTGTGAAATGATTATTCCTATTTATTTTGATTATTAAGGCTAAGAGCAAAATACTTTCTCCACTATATACACACATATATATGTATATGTATGTGTGTGTGTGTGTGTGATCTACCCGTCTGGTTGTAATCCAATTATATAAACATACTGACATTTTTCCTCTTATTATGCTACATAACAGCTGAGAACAGGGAGGGGGACTGAAACTAATGATCACTTACAATATTAATTTATCTGTCATCATTTCTGAAGCAACAGTTTGTCACCTAAATGAAGAAGAATGACCATCACTTCTACACAAGGCCTAAGACGGCATCTTCGAAAGACTAACAAGCAAAAACGATGGATGACTGAATACTTAGCGGCTTAGTTTATGGGCGTCTGATGCTCAACGTTATGTTTTAGTGTGTTTAGGGGGACAAGAACAACTTCTGCTTTATTTACCTCAAAATCACTGGAGAAGAGAAACTGCTTAATGCATAAATTAACTTTAACTTTTATGAAAAAGAGGAGCGTTTTCTCTTATTAAAGCTGCACAGAATTTGAACAAATTATATTTTCCTTATGCTGCAATTTCAGGAAATGTGGGCCTGGTTGATTTTTTTAATTAATTTCAATGTTCAGATTTGGGGTTTTTTCCCTTAAAGATTAAAAATCTTGATTTAGTTTTACTCTTTTTCTTTTTTATTTTTGGTTAAGTTGTGTTGAACAAATTTCTCCCATATGCGTCAGTTTTCAACCTGAACCCTGACCCTGGACTCAGACCTGGTGTCGAACAGCTCCCAGCGCTCCCTGTAGTAATACTGGTCCAGACTCTTGAACCAGTGAGTCGGCCGCTGCAGCCTGGTCCGGTTCAGCAGGTCCTGGAAGGTCGGGGACACGTACAGGTCCTGGTCGATGGGGAAGGGCATGCGGTAGTGCATGTTGTGAAGAAGGTGGTACGCCCCCTGGTGGACGGAGCGGATCGGGTAGTACATGGTCACCTGAAATCAGAGCGCATTTCGTCAGGGCCTGGAGTTTTGAGTTCCTCCTGACTGAGCGACGGTGAGGTCTCGACCTCGTGCAGCGACTGGCTGGAGTACACCGTGTTCCAGCTGCTGGGGTCGGAGGTCAAAGCGGGCAGCAAGGAGCGGCCGGTGAGGAGGACCTGCAAGGACGGACTCTCGGGGAGGATGTAGGATGGATAGGGGATAGAAAACCAGTCCAGGACGGTGGGAGTGATGTCTACAGAAACACAGAAAGAAACAGGAGGGTGACAAATATGGAAGATAAATTTAAACTGTGACCTGCTATCACTGAACATTAAATCAGCTCATAAATGGATCAAATTAAGAAGTAGCTCATCGTTTTGCATGATTATCGAGTAAATGACACAGAACTAACAAAATCTTCATAGTAAGAGTCTGATGCAAACACTCGTCCACAGAGCTTGATCAAAATGCTGCAAATACACCGATCAATATAAATGATCGATTTCACCAGCAACGCATAAAAAGCTTTTTCCTTGTCGGCACCGATCTGCAACAGTGTTTTATTTATTTATTTTTTTATATTCTGTTTAACAAAATCTGTGCATTCTGCTAAATTATTGTTATTGCTGTTCTCTGTTAGTCTACATTTTCTTTTACATAATTTGCGCTGACTGATAAAAATGATCTGATCTTGTGAAATATTAACAGTGTGTATTTTAAAGAATATAAACGTTTCTTCATTAGCAATATTGACATTCAGTTCATGTCATCTTAGCAGCTGAGCAGCTTCTGTTGTGTTCCCGTGTCTCCCTCTAGTGGCAGCAGAAACACATTGACCGGAAAAACTGACACTAAAAATACATATTCACTGTTAAAACCCTTGAGGGGTTCTCTGAAAGCTGGAAGTGCGTGTTGTCCTGCTAATGTTCTCTCTGGTCAGGTTATTGTCAAACCAGATGGCCTGACGCCTGTTGAGGCCAAAAAGTGACGTTTTTACAGATCGTCAGGCCACACGGGCCTAAATGAGCTCAAAGAAAGTGACAGCACTTTTGCACGGAGTTGATACTGAGACTCAACTTGTATCTATGTCTTGTGATTTGGGTGACAAAACTTCTCCGATTGACGATTTGTACCTGAGAGCGGTGGATCCCAAAGCTGGGACCATGTTTGTGATGACAGGACAGAAATGGATGCTTCCTGGCATTTCTCTTCAAACAGCTAGACTGGACACAGTGGCTAGATAAGGCTGGGTCCTAATCCGCTCAGATTGTCACAATTTCCACTATTTGAAACATTTCAATTAGTCCTGAGACTGTGGCTCCAGGCAGCTTCAGGTAAGCAGATGTTTTTTGTTCCCTATCGAAGATCAACATTTACATCCGTCTTACTCTAGACTCATCTTCTCTTGTCCATCCAGTTTTGAGGAGTGGCTAAAGGAAATAGTCCTGTCTAAAAAATAGGTATTACATATTCTGATCAGCTTTAAACTGTCATGTTTAAATTTCTAAAAATGCTTTACTTACAATCTTGCCATAACTGTACACTGTTTCCCGTTATATAACTGCATCCTCCTAATTATAAGTACCCAGAGAGGATTGGAGGTGAGTGATCCGCTGTTGGGTGGAGGATGTGGCCGTCTCTCACCCAGCAGACTGACGAAGGCCTGGCTGGTGTTGCCCCACCGCTCCCTGTGCTCTGGGGAGGAAACCAACATGGGTTCAGCGGTTCCAGACCGATACAGGTTGGTTCTGCCATTGGGGAAAGGGATCCCGTTGTCAGAGCTGTAGATGATCAGAGTGTCGTTGTCGTAACCGGCATCCCGCAGCTCCTGAAGAACCAACCCGATACCTGCAGAGGGACTTTGTGGGTTAGTCTGCCTCATCCTTTTGTTGTTGTTGTTTTGTTTTTTTTTTGCGCTTGTGAAGGTGCTGAACAGACCCTGATCCAGCCGGCTGACTGTGGTGTACTGTGCGGCCAGGTCGGCCCGAGCAGCCGGTGTGTCGGGTACGAAGGGAGGAACCTGAAGACGTTCAGAGTTAGAAACACGGCGCTCTGGATTTAGTTCCTCAAAACGACTTGAATCCATTTTATGAATCCATTGAAAACCTTACATCACTGACTAGGGCTGGGCAATAAACCAGTAACAACATATATAGAAATAGACACCTAATCAATATCAATACAAAACACATCTGATAGAATATTCAATAATTTGACTGCACTTCAGAACCGCACAGCATTCTGGGGGATGTAGGCAGAGGAAAGATTTCACCTGCCAAAGCAAGGCAGGTGACATCAACTAACTCACTCTTTGGTTACCTAGCAACAACCTGCTGAGCAGAAGCTTAAACATAAAAAACAGTCTGTGGAGTGAAAGAGGAAAATTAGGACAACAGCTTGAGAGGAAACTGTGGATGAAACAGAAAGGTCACGTCACCAGTCTGCCATTATTTCAGATATTTAAAACAAAAATCTAATCAGCAATTATCGATATCGACTGATATGACAACCTTTTATCATGATACATTTTGCAACAGCGTTGCCACTCACCTTAACTTGCTCTGGTGTGTAGTACACTGGCTTCCAGTCGGGAATTAAACCCATTCCCGGTTCTCCGTTCCCAAACTTCTCACAGAAAGCCCCATACTGGGGCTGCGAATGGCCACATCGGTGGGTGTCATGGAAGGCCACGTAAAGAAAAAACGGCCTCTCCTCCTCCTCCTCTGCGTTCACGCCTCTTACTCGCCTTCGCTCGGCTGCTTCCTCCTTGTGAGTCTGGAAGAACTTGCGGACCAGGAGTTTGATCCGGGTGATGTTCCTGCCCACTTGGAGGACGGAGCTGTTTTCCTCCGTGTAGGCGAAGTCAAAGGGGTAAACAGATCCAGGACCGACGTGCTTCTTCCCGATTATACCTGCGGGAATTGACAGGGAAAAAAAAAAAAAAAAAGAGATCAAAGGAAGGCAACACAGAGTGAAGAAACGTGATAAGATGTCCGTTTTTAAATGAACCTGTGTGTACGTCGGCCTGGCTGAGGAGCAGCGGTAGACTCTGTACTCCGTCGAATGAGTTGAAGTGATGAACTCCCTGATGGAGGCCATACATGCCGTTCTGATGCTGAAAACACAGGACTAACCTCAGTGACATCAAAAAGGAGGGACTGGCAGGTACAGGGAGGGGTGTGTGGTTGTGTGTGTGTGTGTGTGTGTGTTACCTGCGGCAGACCCGTGAGGATGGCGGAGCGGCTCGGGGAGCAGCTGCTGACGGATGTGAAGGCGTTCCTGAACACAACGCTGCGTTGGGCCAGAGAGCGCAGGTGGGGCGTGTGGACCACAGAGTTATTATAGACGTCTGTTTCAAAACCTGCATCATCAGCTGGGGAGGAAAAGAAAAAGAAATTCATCTTAACTTTATTGTTACCTGAAATGGGGTCTGGCCATAGTTTAACAACTTCGTAGTTGTCCACAAAACAGTCGATGACCTCCTCCACATGGAGGATAAGCCACAAAAGATCACAGCAAAAAAGCCGGCTGCTCACAGAGTGCTTCAGCCAAAAAGTTGAGTGGAAGGAAAAAGAGTGGCAGAAAAAAAAGGTGCAAAAGCAACAGAGATGACAGCAGCAAAGCTGATGTAGAAAATTGGAGAGATTTTCATATTGTGTGGACTGTCAATGGTTTAAGATAGATGACATCAAGGTCACATGCTAAAGGTGTCACAATTATCATGTCAAGACAGGATACTGTTCACATGGATGTTGAAAAGGCTAACATTACTGTATGAATCATTTTTTTAACTGAATTTTGGTCTCATTACTGTTGGATATAAATGGAATATTAACTTCTGAATTGGATCACCAATCAACATTTCCTATCTTGTAATGAAATGAGATGCACCCATATTTATCCTATTTGATCAGTATTTTGTATTAATAAAGATAACTTTTAACAAATATAAACCAGCCTAGCTGCTAGGAAGAACATAGAAACGTAAAATAAATGACAGATGATGACACAAGACTGTTGCATAGCTCTCTGCACATAGAGATTTGTCAAACCAAACATCTAACATTCACAAATCAATAAGTTGCTGCTGACTGTGGTGATATTTTTGCACGCAAGCAAGCAAATAAAGTCCAATGTCCAAAATCTGAAAGTTACGTTTTAGTGATTAGTTATCCAGTTTGGCAAACAATGCACAAAAATCCTCTTTTTTACTTTCCTGCTGCTTCTAATATGGTGAAAAAACAAAACAAAACTTTAAACAGTGGTTCACCGCAGTGCATGCTGGTCTTATACCAGTCCCTTTTACAGAAATTGCACTTCCTGGCTGACTTACAAAGGCAAAGAGCAAACAAAAAAAATATTATGAACTAAAAAAAACAACCAAATAAAAAACAAACAAAAAAAAACTAAAACTTGTAAATAATCAACAACAACAAATATAAAGAATAAAAAAAAACGAAGATATCCAAGAACAGATTTTAACAAAACTCAAAATAATACAAATAAAGAACAAGTAGCTGGAACAGATACTGGTGTAGCTAATGAAATAAAGAAAGACTGGTACAAACATACAATGAAATGATACCTTAACAGTTTAATTTCCAAAAAGTTTAATTTTTATCCAACATATTAAATAGTTACGCACCAATAATTAGAAGGACATTTCTTCTCTTTGACTCCGACACGCGACAAGAGGCTACAAGCACAAACAGCAACTGGATCCGCATAATGAGGGTTTAAATATCTGCTGAAAACCTGAGAAACAAATCAGATCCGCAGCTCTTTAAACGTTATGATATGCGGAGACAACCAAAAGCCGCCATTCTTTAAACTTCCGGAAACAACTGGCGCTCCCGTCACGTGACAGCGGTCACGTGACTTGGAAGAAAACGGGAAGTTGTTACTGTGAACGTCTGAGTCGGGTTTTAGAGAAGTGGATTTTAGCAGCTATTATTTAACAGAGGTGGATGTGAAAAATCACAGCCTGGCCGATGAAAGGTGCCGAGAGGAGGACTGCAGTCAGCACAATGTGGTGGTATATTATATTCTATTTTTATTGTATTATTTGTCTACCCTCATTTCTGTTAAATTTTAATATCTCACTTCTTTGAAATTGCATGGCAACAGAGTGCATATTCCTAACATTTTGAGTTTAGTCGTCTTGTTTGCTCATACCTTTATGGATAGCTTCCCTAACACAACTTTAATCAGTCAGGATGTTCAGGTACATGAATATCACCTGTCTGTCACATGATCTTCCTATGACTGTCAAAGTCACACACCTGAGCATAACCTATGGGAAGTGTGGGAGGAAGCTGACAAGTTTTGTTTGTTTTTGCGTTTTTGTTCCACCTGAAGGTAAGGAGTGTGTTTGCTTTTGAGAAGTTCACACAGGAGCGCAGACACATGCATCCCCTCAGAGCAGGTGTGTGTTTTTTTCCTGAAAGCTGGGAATCACAGCAGGAAAACCAAACGACCCAAAGCTAACGAGCTCAGCAGGGAAACCCTGAACTCACTGTGAGCGCTTTAATTCTCTTCTTATACACACATTCCTAAATATTTAGATTGATTTTTTAACTTCTTTTTAAATCTTCTCTCTGCCTCCAAGGGTTTGTAGAAATGGATCGGCCGCTGCAGGGAGGACAGTCGTCCCGGCGCTGCTGTGCTTACAGCACCCTGAAGTCCTGGCTGCCCATTCTCTCCTGGTTACCCAAGTACAAGGTGAGGTACCTGCAGATGGACCTGCTGGCGGGCCTCACTGTCGGGCTGACCACCGTACCACAGGCTCTCGCTTATGCAGAAGTGGCCGGACTTCCTGTTCAAGTGAGGTTAAGTTTGACTTTTGATGAACATGATGTTTTTTTTCTAATGTCTTTTATTTCCCCCAACTGATGAAACGCATCAGAATGATGCTACCACCACCATGCTTCTCCCTGGACTTTATGATTCACTTTGTTCATTAATGTTCTTTAACAAACTTGTGCGTTTTTGTAATAAGATAAATTTACACACAAGTGGACTCTATTTACTAATACAGCAACTTTAACACTTTTTAGCATTTTAGCATTTATTTCAGACAGGAGCAAAAAAACCCCCCAAAAAACAGAAACAAACATGTATAAATAAACAAGTAAACAAAAAAAGTAACGCAACAATCAAAATAGTCCAACAACAACAAATGTCTGAAAAGAAGTAGAAAGAGCATGTGTTTATTTAATCCTACTGACAACTGGTTTCACTGGATTTTATTTAGTACTAAAGAGGACTGAATACTAAAGCATGCCAAACTTTTCTGATTTTCATTTGTAACAAATTTTTAAAACCTCATATTCTTTTCATTTAACTTTATAATCAAGTGCTGCTTTCTGTTGATCTATCCCGTTAAATCCCAATAAAATGCACTGAAGTTTGTGGTTGTAATGTGGCGATCCGCTATGATTGAAAATATAACAAATGAGTGGGATTTACGTATTCAGCTACATATAGTTAAAGTAAAATTAACTTATCCTATTAATGAGGGCATCAGTGGGTTTGTGAGTTGAGATGCTTTCAATCAGAAATGTTTACTCGTCACAACAAACGTTGTGCTCTGGTCGTTTCTCACAGTACGGACTCTACTCTGCCTTCATGGGCGGCTTCATCTACACGCTCCTGGGGACATCTAAGGACGTGACACTGGGTCCAACGGCCATCATGTCCCTCCTGTGTTTCTCTGTGGTGGGCGGCCAGCCTCACCGGGCCGTCCTGCTCAGCCTCCTCTGTGGAGTCATCCAGGCCGGCATGGCGTTACTCAGATTGGGTAAGAGATGCTGCCGCCGCCGCCGCCGCAGCTTTAAAGATGTTACTTGAGCTAACGCAGATCCTCTTTTTAACTTTGCTGTCTGTTCTTTGCACGTTTAAAATGGCTAAAATAAATTGGCAGAAGTAGCAGAGATAAAATCTCCCGTCTGTTTCCGACTGATTCTGTCTACAATTCATTGTTTTCCTCAGGATTCCTGCTGGACTTCATCTCTTATCCTGTAATAAAAGGCTTCACCTGCGCTGCTGCAGTCACCATCGGCTTCGGCCAGGTCAAAGTGAGGCTACACACACACACGCACACACACACACACACACACACACACACACACACACACACACACGCACACACACCTCTTCATGCTGTGTGACCTCAGTGTTCTATCGGCATAATTATCAAAGTGTTGAACATAGTTTCTTTGAACAGAATGCAACAACAAATTGCTCAGTTTTAGTAACTGAGAAATTTTGTTCGTTCAATATTATTTGCTATTTTTAATAGAATTGAAGTTAAAATGATATGATCTCAGTTCGATAGTGTTTTCCACAGATGTGAGCTTGACCTCTTCAACTGGAAAGCCAATCTGTTTGGACATGTCAGTATTCAGAAAGTGGTTTGGCATCGCCTTGCTGAAATCACCTGTGATATCCTGATAGCTGTGTGTGCGGCTCTAAAGCTTTCGTCACAGGATACAGGAACTGCTTTTTAATCAGCGTCAGAATGAGAAAGCTTTTCGTTGTCATGATGACTCCGCACAACCAAAAGCTGTTTGAATTGACGCTGACAAATAACAGCAAAAACAAAATGTTGAACAACACGGCACTGAGGAAGAGCAAAAAAGAGTCGTTGCAATAACATCTGTCAGGAAATTGGTTATATTTTCGTTTATTGTAATGCCTGCTTCATCCCAATCTGCTGCAGAAGGCTGGTGTCTGTCTGCAACGAGTTTAAACCAGAGTGTTTATGTTCTCTGTGCTTTTTAAATTATTTTGGCACAACTTTGATGCAGATTTGTGTTTAGGGCCAAATTTTAATTTATATTAATGACTTTTAAACTAAACTAAACGGAGCATTCAGTGCTCTTTGGAGACTTTTCCGCCTATTCAAATACGCTTTCAGGTAGGTTTGAATTTATTTTTGTCCTTTTTTGTTCATAGAAAATTGTTTTATCATTTTCCATAAAGTGAAGATATTTCTTCTGTTATTTGAGCAATTTGCATATACTGACAAAGTTCAAAGTTTTTTGTGTGGGGGTGGTTTTGCTAAAAAAAACAAACATACACACACTTTAATTACTAAACTTTCACTTAAGGGCATATAGAGCCTTGGATATTTGCTATAAGATTATATAGAATGTATGTCTGTGTATATATAATGTATGAAATAAAACTTCATGTTGGTTCAAAGCATGAATGTTCAAACTCATTGTGGGGTTTACAATGCTGCTGAACTGGTTTAAGCTCCTTCTGTTTACGTGTGTGATGTGGGTGGTTAAACTGGTTCCCGATTGCAGAACATTCTGGGAATCCGGGATGTCCCTCACCAGTTCTTCCTGGAGGTTTACTACACCTTCCACAAGATCCCAGAGGCCAGAGTGGGCGACGTGGTCCTGGGCCTGGTTTGTCTCGCTCTGCTGATCGCACTGATGTTCATCAAGTCACATCCGGGCTCTGACCACGGATCATCAGTCTACTCCAGATTCGCCAGGAAACTGGTGTGGGCTGTGGCCACCAGTCAGTACTTCTCTCACATTTTCACAAAAACTAAAACCTGGTTGGTTGAACTTCTCAACGTGAGCCGTTTCCCCTCTTTGTCCTGATCAGTGCGTAATGCCCTGGTGGTCGTGGCTGCGACTCTGGTGGCGTTTTCCTGGGACGCTTTTGGACATCATGTGTTCACCATCACTGGGCACACGACTCAGGGACTCCCGCCGTTCAGCCCCCCGCCCACCTCGGACACCACGTCCAACGGCACCGTCGTCTCTTTTAGAGAGATTGTAGAGGTCAGAAGCAGAAGTCTGAGCTGCAGGATTCACTTCTCCATTTCTCTCTGACACGTGTCGCTGACCAGTCATGCTTTCTCGCTGCGGTCGGTGCAGGACTTTGGAGGAGGGCTGGCTGTGATCCCTCTCATGGGTCTGTTGGAGAGCATTGCTATCGCCAAAGCTTTTGGTAAGCTCCTTTATCGGTTCTTACAATGTTGCTCTACTGATCGTCATCCAGAGTACAGGAACCTCTGATAACTTTTTTTCTCTTCAGCTCAACCCTAAAGTTTTCTACATTGTGTCTAAAATGTAATGGTGCCATGAAGGTTCCCAGGAGCCAAAACATTCAATACCACCAAGTAAAAAAATGACCCTACTGAATAAATGCGGTCTAATTAAATGCTGGACTAATCTAAATTAATGCAGCAATAAAACCTGAATTTATTTTAAGGGTTTTCCACGTTATATCCAACAGTTGCGGCGAGTTGTGGATGATTTTTTTATTGAATAAAGTCTTCAGCAACAATGGAGCATCAAGTTCATCTTGTCTTTGTCTGTTTCCTCCCAGCCAGTCAGAACAGCTACAGGATCGATGCCAACCAGGAGCTGCTGGCCATAGGTGTGACCAACATCATGGGCTCCTTCGTGTCAGCGTACCCCGTCACCGGCAGCTTCGGACGGTTCGTGTTTGGCTCTCTGAAGGATCTGCTTTACCGTTCTTTTTAACTCTTATATCGTCAACATGCTATCTTCCTCTTAGGACGGCGGTGAACTCTCAGACGGGGGTTTGCACCCCAGCTGGAGGCATCGTCACCAGTAGGTTTGATCCTTTTCCTCTCCTGCCCTCTTGTGGCAGACTGTGTTACTGCATCTTTCTGCTGTCATAATAATAATAATAGAAATGTCCTCACCCTCTAACTACAACATGATTCTTAGTTGATCTAAACTTGTATGTAAGAATATTATCATGTTGATTAAACAGCAGAAAACTCCAATGGTTAGTTGAATATAAAAGCTAAACCTTTATCTGTTTTTCCTCTTCTTTGT